GGGAAGTGGTAATGAAGGACGGTCCTTTTTCACTCGAAGGTTTTTCACTCGGGGTTTTTGGAAAAAGTGTTGGTTTTTTCTGCAGTGTATTATCATGTTTTTGTGATCTCATCCTCATCTACCTCACCTTCACTATCATCTCTCAATCTCACCTTCATTCGCTTGCCACATTCCTCTTCGCCCCCTCTGACCTTCATTCGACGTCGTCCGCACACCCCCGAGTCTGACAGCTTACCACTCATACCGCTCATACGCTAGCTTTCTTGTTTTATATCCTATGCAATTTCATAAATTCGTCGTCTACCCAGCTGCTTTCTCCTATCTACCGTTCTTTCGCTTGTTGGTTCGTTGATTCTCTTCATCCGCTGTTACGTCCCGTTTTGACTCGGGCTGTCTCATCTGCCGGTGTGTTTGTGTCGTGTCGCGTCGTGTCCTGACGTCCTGTCTGGTTTCGTGCTATCTGGTTTCGTTGAATGGAACGCCTACCTATCTTCGTTATCATCGACCATCCTCCATCGACCGCATACATTGACCGTCGACCATCTTATCCCCTTGTTTTCTCCAGCCCCCTCCTTTCATTTCATCGCCCTGGTTCGGTTTCTGGGTTAGGACCGCGTTTTACAATTCCCCTCGAGTCCTCGACCGACCGACAACGCCCTGGCTCGTGGCTCGTAAAGCGCACAAGATTTTGACCACGACCACCGCGACGCTTCCGCCCGGCGCGGTCGTGCTGTAGCGTAATCACGCTGCTGGACCGGGCATTTTAGGCTGGGGGGGAGCTGATTGTGGGTAGGACGAGAAAGGGCCGTCGACGCGTCGGTTATCGTTTTTCTTCCTCATCGCGTTTGGTGTCCTTGTCTTGTCTATGTTGGACGGACTCACCCACGGATCACCACACGTACGCGATACACACCTATTATGCGGTTTGCGCGATATACTCGAGTACATGACATTACGCAACGTCATACGCCACCTACCTCAATCGTCTTGCTCGTGGTTTCGTGATTTTTTTCCCCGCGTTTCGCGCTGCGTACGTGTGGGTGCGGAGCTACGGTTATGTCTGGGGGGTGATGAGGTAGGGAGAGGGAAGTTGTGCTACACGCAGTGCGCTAGATGATGGCTTGGATTTGTTCTGGATGTTCGTGCTGAGATGCGTTGACGGAGGGATGGCGACAAATCAAAATTCGGGAGACGAGAGGAGTGGAGCGCTGTTGACTAGGGAGGGGTAAGGTTAGGTGGTGTGATAATCGTCGTCGTGCTCGACTTTGGGGATAGCCGGGCGGAAGCATCCACCCCAAGGGAAACAAACTCTCCATACCAGAAGTCCCGCAGAGTGGCTATACAACGACGAACGAATGGGTTTGGAGGTGTCCGATAATAGGCGTGGAGCCTGATGAATGTTGCTTTAATAGGAAATGGGAATGGTGTGGTGAGTCGTCAGCGGCTGGAATCATTCCCCCTTTCGCGTATCTACCACTGGTGAGATATATGTGGATATGGGTAGGGTAGATGCAGGGATAGGGGATAGGATGAGGGGATAGAGGTATACGCAGGGTATACAGTATATAAGTGTAGGTTACGTAGATCTGCTTGTGTTACATATATTATTTTATGGAATATCTTCTAAACTCAAACCATGGGGGAAACGTCGCGGGGGAGATTTGAGGAATACCATGCACTTGATCGAATGTATCGTTGGAGGCGTTTTAGCGCGAGTGTTCACAGTGTGAGCGATAGTCTGATAGGGAGGGCGGTTTTAAATATCGAATCCACTTCGTCAAATTTAATTTTAGAACTCGTCAACTGTGACTTCTCGCCTCATGACTGCCATCATATTGCGCAAGTATAGTACTGCATTGGCAGATCCGAGTCTAACGGAAGGAAGACATCAAGCTGACGCGCCTCAACGTTCAATCACGCTGATGCTGAAGCTGACGTTGATGTGATGCCGACCATGATAGCCTCGGATGCAGCCTGTACCGCGGTCAGAGAAGTTCATCCATCTATCGTGATCACTGGTCATGCCCCGGTGTGTAGCACGAGTCGCGCTGCTACGAGGCGTTATGAATAAATACCGCCTCGGTGCCGACAATACTGTCGCAGTTGCTTATCCTGATAGGGGGGACTGGATGGCCGTTCTGCGTACTGGTTTCGTTAGCTTCAGAGCATCAGAACGACAAGCAATCAAGCAATCATATATTCGGCACATGGTCCACTGCATCACTGTGAGACCAACTATAGGCCCTTTGACTCTGTACATGGAAAAGTTCCCCGAAAGTCTGGTCACCGCTCCATCACACCTTTTGGCATAACGACATGACAAGGTACGGCTCACCAGCGTAGGGAAATGAACTTACCGTCCGCGTGGTCCGGAGACCACGTGTGGGGGCAAGGATGACGCAAAAAGGATGTCCATTTCGATTCCATTTTCGCCAGCGCAGGGCTATTTATGACCTGGAACAACGATATCCCTACCAGATCAGCGCCCCAGCTGCTGCTTCTGTTCTGTGTGTTCAAGACTGACGACCAGCGATACGTGACCACGAGGATTCTAATCCCAGGCTCGGCCTCGTCACGTCGATGCGGATATAAAAGCCATCTTGCCGTCCTGGACCCAGGTACCCCAATATCCCCCTATTCTCGACAAACGCGCTGAGTTTTGATTCATAAACGTCGTTAGCTATGAAATCTGGTGCTGTATCCACTGTGATATGTCTCGTTCTTGCATTTCTGCATATGACCGGGGCAGTACCTGTTGCTGAGTTAACAAGCGGTATGTATTAAATTTACGCACCTTCCAGTGACAAAAATGCTCACTTATTTCGCTTGATCCATTTTCTTTCAAAGGAGCTCAAGCAGTAGGCCTCGCACAACATAACGGCGTTAGTGCCATATACGGTATCGCGGAAGGTTTGTCTTCTGACAGTGCTTCAAATGAACATTTTATGACTGACACGAGTAACCGACAAGAGTAGACCCTGATGATATCACCAAGCGAGACACGGGTAGTTAGCCAACAGCCTTTTGCGTCATCTTTGTAGTCACTTACTTTGCTTCTCCGCTTTCTTGAAAGGAGCTCAACATAAAGCAATAGGTCGCACAAACCATGCTGGTGTTAGCACCGATTACGGTATCGCGGAAGGTTCGTCTCCTAACGATTCGTCATATAAGTATATTTTATAACTGACACGAGTAGACCCCTGACGCAGCGTGACACGAGCCAACAGCCTTGCATCTCAATCATTGACGGGGAACTTACTGACATGGTTCATATCAAAAAGTGTGTAAACTAATAGTGACAACAATTTCAAACTTGGGGCTCGAGCAGCATGCATGATGATTTATGCCGTTTGTCTTGGAATTTCATGATTTGTATGTTTTCGTTTCACCTGCCAATGCAGTTCTTTTGGTATGCGTGGACTCGTCAGAAAAAATCTGATTCCATATGGCAGGGAGGAAGGAGAGGGCCTTCCTAATCGGGGAACACAATCATTGCTTCTTCACCAGTTTCACCTTCTGTACTTCAAGTTGTCGTCAAATCTGAGCAGTCTGTTTGGAAGAAATGATTTATAAGGAAGCTCTTACAGAAAATCGATCGTCATGCAAAAAACAAGAATATGACTTAAAATATGAGCCATATTAAACAAGAGGTTAAGCGATAATGACTACGCGGTATGCACTACAAAATACAAAAACATTACAATACGAGGCAGTCGCTAGCTGCGATGTGACCTCCGCTTGGACGGCCGTTCTTCAGGCGCTTCTTGGGAGTCGGCCTTCCTCTTTGCAGGTCGACATATACTGGAATTAACTCCAACCAGAGCCTTCATGAGTTTTTGAAGTCGCCCTTTATGATTCGAGGCAGTTTCGACAGCATCTATATCGATAGGATCCGCTTCCGCTTCCACTTTTCCTTCAATCCAGGCCTTTGTTGTCACAAACAGAGACGGAGCAAGTCGCCAAGCTTGGACTCCCCCTTTGTGGTCAACAAAGATAAGTGAATTCGATGGGTATGACGAAGCGGCTAATGACGAGGTCGCAACAAATGGCTTTGGGCTGGGTTTGTCTATGCGAGATCCTGTCTCTGCCTTTGAAGCTGTGAAGGTCATCAGGGGGTCTTCATCTTCATCATCGGCAAAAGGCGTAGCCGAGCGGTGTAGATGACGACCTGTAGCCCAAACGCTATTGTCATCTGTGTCGGGGTGGAAAGCAACGCGGCTAGGTCGTTGAGTAGCTCGTTCGTGAATACGTCGAGGCGGTGTTTGGGAGCGTGAACGTTGATGGGGATATCTGTGCCTTGAAGGTGGCAGTTCTACTTCATCGGACAATAAGTCAGAATTGCAGGACTCGCTAAGTAGTCTTGCTGAGGAGGTTGAAGACGAAGAAGTTCTAGGTACTGGTGGATTCGTCAGGGGAAATATTATACCAAGTGACGATGGGTGCCAAAGTATGTCGGCACTGTTGTACTTACTTTGGAACGGCCCACTTCTCCGCTCTGGAGGAATGACAACATATAGCTTGTGTTGCTCTTCATAAGCTTCGTAGTCCCAGCGATACATGTCCCAGCCACATAAGGGATGTTGCTTGATAAACATTTAAATTGATGAGCCAGGCGAGAAGGGGCCAATTTAAAAATCACTAACCTGAATGGCCAGGTCTTTCTGCTTGCCCTTGAAACGTATCGACGCGCCCATTTCTTGTAGAAGGGCTTGCTCCGTAATTTTCGCGTCGTCATAGTCAATCAAGTATTTGACAGCACGCATCTCTTCAATAAATGCATTCGGAGTGCAAGCACGAATACCATAATGTTCCAATTCATTCGAGCACATCGCTCTGCCAAAGTTGATAATCGATACTCTTTCATCGTCACCTGATAAACCTTTAACATCAGCGTTAGAGAAGATAAAGGATGCACATACCAATAAAAATATTTCTCAGGGAGACGTCGCCATGAAGAACGCCTTGAGCGTGGATTCGTTCAAAGGAGTCGACAACGGCTTGTTTTGATTTCTTAGACATACAAGGATGAGCTTTGTGCCATCCTATGCTATGAGGCGCTTCCATTGCAATGTCTTTTACCCCTTCGTCACTTTTGTAGACGCAGATGAAGGAAGGCACACAGACTCCTTGTAGGGGTTGTAACAGCTGAGGATGCGAATAGAGGTATAGCTGCAGGTAATGGCGGGGTCGGTAAAAACATCATTGAATGGGAGCTCGACTAACCTCGGTATAGAATTCATGACTGTGGAAAGGAAGGTTCCAACTGTAAAGGATTAGCACATTCTCTGCAACATAAATGCTGAGACTCACGTTTTACTCAGGAAAGTAGTATACCTTCCTGAGATAAATCCTGTTCTTAAGCGTAACATCCAGCCTTCTCCGTCTTACAAAAATCAGTTTAACGTTGTTCATTATTGTGTCATAACATACCATCCACAAGAGAATCATCCATATCACTGCCTGCTGCAGGGGCATATTCCACACTAGGCCCAGGCTTGCCATTGTACTTCTCGACGGAGAACCTTTCAACGTAGCTTTCTCTGAATTTCATGAAGTGTAAGGTGGTTTGTGGTAAGAAAGTAGAAAGTGTCTTTGTTGAGTGTTGAGCTCATGGGGGACGGTCTTATGTATGTACTGTAGTAAAGCTTTGATCTGCGAGCTTTGGCCTGGAAACCTTGTGGCATTGTGCTCACAAAGGAAATCGTGGCGTAGTGACAAAAAGCAACCGTGGGAATCCTGGATAAGTACTAATCTGGTCTTACAAACGCAAGCACAGTATAATGTTGACGGCAAAATATCGATATCGCCTTCGAGTTGAGAGACCTCTTCCGGCTAGGAATATAGCTTCTTGATGCGTGGCTCATGCAGTACATTGAATGTGATATCAGTCTAATGAGGTATCCAAGTTCTCGAATAACTGTAAGTACGGATCGTTTTATCGCTCTCATCCCTGCCTCAATTCTGCGATGTCTCGTCACAGAATGCACAAGGTAATAGATCTCGATCCAATCCACGACGGTGGGTACCTCAATCCACAACATCGGAAAGAGCGTCAACAAAAAATCGGCTACGGGAGAGGTTTCATCGTCATCGACCTTAAGTCATATCGCAGCGTAATAATGAGGAGTCTCGTCCGTTGCCCATCAACACGTCAGTGGCTGAATCGGGTACTATAGACGCGTCAAGCTTTAGACATATTTAACACTCGTCCAGAGAGTGCATAGCAATGGGAATGTTATATCCCCCAGAAGATGGTCGTCCAGGTCTATTCTAACGTTGTTGAGCCGCAAAGTTGTGATGTTCGAAAAGGCAAATAGCTGTTGGATGGGTGTTGATGACAGTTTCACAATAGAAGTCGGTTTGACCATGATAGTGTGCAATGAAGACGGAGAGAGATGGTTTGTTTTTAATGCATGCAAAAGCTTCGTGACATCGGCGTCGCAAGTACCGCAAAGCACTTCCACGTGCTCCAAATTTTTGGACCGCAAAGTTTCAAATATCGAGCTGGGAATCATATTCAAACCAAAGTAAGAAGATATCTGCAAGTTTCGCAAGGAAGGAAGTCCAGATAATCCTATAGTTGACATTGTTTCGGTATCGCGACTCGAGTATACGATACTGAGATATTCTAGATGCTGCCACGACCTTACCAGATAGGCGAGGAAGTGGCTAGTGTGACTCGAATCTACGTTGTGGTGTCAAAAGACTGTTCCAAGCGACTCATGTAAGTAAACTTGCCTATATGCACCTTGAGTTTTTTTTATAACAATGCTCTCTTTCGCGATGACAGTATTCATAAAGGAGGTGACTTCTTCATCGTGAAGCTGGGACGAAATAGAGATGTGATGTTTTTTTGGTCATGAGAAGACGCACGCAATCCTTGTACACCATTGCTTTGATATTATCAACAAAGGTCAATGAAGTGAGGTTTGGTAGTAAATGAGCCGAAGGACAGGCGATCAGCATGTCAAGTATTGTCGACGGGTTGACATAAATTGAGAAGTTCTGTAAGCCATGTGGAGGCAAGTCACCATGAGAGATAGATTTGATCCGTCGTGAGTAGTGGAAAATTCTATCCCATTCTTCATCACGAGGTGATCTTGCCAGGCACTAATATTATCGTGAACCACGGTGAATGATCATATCCACATCAGTAGTAGAGCAATGCGGGCAGGTACAGGCCATGGAACATACCAGTTCGTTACGAACAAAAGAATCACTGAGCAAATACACCTTGATGCAGTACACACAAGAAGAGTGGTACGAATGATGTCTGTGTTCTCCAAAGAACGTCACAAGCTGGTTCAAGAAATGCATGACATGTTCTGGCAAGACTTGGGAGGTCTTCATATAGTAGTGACACTTCGAAGCTCTCGTATAATATTTCAGAAATCTTAAGGCAAGAATGCATGCGCATGTTGTGTTCGTCACGGTGTTCGAGTTGTGGTGTCTCTAGTGTTTGTTATAGAAAGTTGGTAATGGTTTTCCGAGTATCCTTATTTGGTATGTATTCATTTACCTCCGCGCCCGCCATCTTGCTCATCGACACCGCCAGCGATGAGGGTAGTGTCCCCTTCGGTTTCTCATTCTTGTTCTCGACTCAAACATCCATCAAGCAAATGCGGTCGCTCTTTCTCGTCCACGTCTCGTCGCTGCGGACATTACGAGACGCTGTCTGTCCCCCACAACGCAACAAAAGCTCAGATCAAAGTGAGCATCCTTGACCTCAGGTTCTACTTCCAAAACAAAATGCTAACTACCGCATCATTCTTGATACATAGTCGAGTTTTTACCAGGTGATTGTGCACTTTGTCCTTCCGGCGTTCTGGCCATTTCGCTCATCTTCGGACTTGGCGTCGACGTGTTTTTACCTAGCTTAGCAAACTATTTCATCCCGACGTAGCTGAAGACCCAAAGTCAAGGGAAAAGTTTCAAGCAGTGAGCGATGCATATGCAATACTAGGCGACGATCGCAAACGGTATGTCTCGTCATTCCCCTTTACCCTCCAAACTTCACGCTACGTCCAGACGCGAATACGACCGCTCTCTCAAAAGACCTGCTCCACCACCAACACCAACACCAACGACATCACCTACCCCATCCTCCACGACCTCCCGCCACCGCCCTGCCCGACCACACCCGCATGTATGGGAGGTCCACCGGTCCGGAAAATACACTTACTATCGTCCTCCTCCAGGCCAGCAGACGAGCTACACCTGGTCCCGTACAGACCCATTTACGAGTCCGCATGTGCAGAGAGCGACTGGCAAGTCGGCTATGCCGGGTGGGGCACACCCGCGACCTATGGAAGGGAAGGCGAGACCTGGGCCGTTTGCAGGGATGGGGACAGGGGCAGGTAAGGATGCTGGTACAGGGAGTGGCTCAGGGACAGCGGGGGCACCGCATCAACAACGTACGGAGACAGAGTCGGATCGAGTTGGGAGAGAGTCTTCCGTGTTCAGGGTGATACAGGTTATCGGTATCGTTATGGTGATAGCTACAATCGGGAATGGATTCAGTGTTAGTGCTTCGTGGTGACATTACTGGAAAAACAGTGGGGCTTTCGAAGAGAGGGCGATGTGATGAGGGATATAGATATAATTATTGGGGAGCTGGTAGACTGCTCATTCGTACATTTACAAAGGAGGAGCAGGTATATGAGCAGACGGGTAAAGAGGTTACTTGCGTATATACTTGGAAGAGCAGACTAACTTGATGATGGGAAGCATGAGGTGTATAGGTGAGTTCATGTCGTATTCTTCTCTTGCTCTTTTTCCCGTGTTCTCAAATAGCCGACTAACTGCGCCTTTCTGTCCTATCCATAGGGATACTATATGGATATAGTTATCTATCCATTTGTACAAGGTGTACGTTCGCTCATCAATGACTATCAAATGCACTTCATTCATGGGCACAATTGTATATCTACCTACGTGAGGCTTTTGGATTATGGCCTCGCTTTTGCAATTAGTTGGAAAAAATTTTGGGATACGTCTTTAAATCCAGTGATCTAACAACTAGTATAGAGAACATGGATAAAACTGGGATGGGCCAAACAAGAAAAATGTGCAACGTTTCACTGCACGACCTCCCGTGCCTAAAAGGAACGAATACCGCGCCTAAAAGTGATCTAAGACTTGAATATAAGTGTACATATTGTTAAAGATACACAGATCCACACTCCGTGGAATCACCAGAACCATAACCTTTTCCATGACTATCATGATAACTTTACTCTCCATGCACCCCAACCCACCACACTGCCGCGACATGCACTGCGGCAAGTAAGATCGACACACCCAACCCATCGAGTAACGTATCTGCCACACCCAAGGACATCAGCACGCCTACTGTTGCTGGATACTCTCGTACCATCCTCGGAGAAAAGCACGAAATCGATATGGCCTAGTGAAAGATGTGTCAGTCGACACAATAAAACCTGATGGCATGAAAACGGCTGTAAAGGGAGGAGAAGAGGGTAGGACATCATCGTACCTTCGCAGCAAGCACGCACGACTTCATACCCCTCACATACATATCTGCACTCGGTCGGATACCGAGGCGTCTACCTCTCATTCCTAGCTCTGGTTGCATATCCATTACACCCTTGACTGCATTCCACCCCTCCCCAACCCACCTCCACACACGTCTTCGTGGTAGTGGCTCAAGAGAGGGGACAGATGGGGGAGCTGCTAGTCGTAGCAAGGGCGTCTTCTCACCGTCTTGCTCCATCAAAGCTAGAGACGCTGACCACTGGTCATTCTCGCTCTTGGCAGCTCCACCTTCGTCACCACGTTCAGTATAGTGCCCATTGCTAGGACTATTTACGAGCTCTCCGTCGTATGTCGGACTTGAAGGGCCCTGCCGCTCATCACTCATTTTCCGTACGACAGGTATCAGAGAACTTGATGCCTGGTTTGGGACAGGGGTGACTGGGTCGAACTGGAATGTGGAAATAAATAGATTGGTTTAGTAAGCGCAAGTTGAAAACAAGTTTTTAGTCACGATAAACCGTATGGGATGACAACCGCCAGTCGCTAATGAGGGAATTAGAAAGAAACTCACCCGTCCTTCACGCATAGCACCAAGTACACGTTCGCAAGAAGGTCGTGAAGAAGGTGTAACATTCAGTAGACTTTCGAGAAGGTACAGGAAAGCACGTGGGAGGCGTCGAGATTCAAACGAGGTAACCAGCGATGGCGACTGGCGAAATCTGTTCAAGCGATCAAGACATCGCTCTTCGATTACCTACATAACTGAGGAGAGAAAAAACATACCCGCGATAGTCAAACACCTCCATCTCGAGTTTACTCATCTTATCACTTTCGTCCACTACGCTCGCCTCTCCGTCAGCCGCATATTGGTATGGAAGTTTGAAGAAGAGGAGCTTGTGCAGAATCATGCCAAGAGACCACATGTCGGATTTGGAGTCGACTTGCTGGAGCAGTCCAGTTTGGGGAGAAGGGAGCGATTCAGGTGAGGCATATTCTAGACTAAAAGATGTCAGCCAGCAAACAGTAGGGCATGAATATTGCGGATGAAGATATAGGAGATGAAAACGTACGTCCCAGTGTTTCCTGAGCGATTGCGGTTTGAATGGAGCATATCTCGTGATGTACCAAAATCTGATAGCATTGCCCGAGGTCTGCATGAACAAGGATGATCAGATAAAAGCAAGAGATATAACACAAAATTAGGGCGCATACATAAGCTTGCCTTCGTCCCACGTCAGGAGAACGTTGCCTGGCTTTAAATCCAGATGCAGAATAGACCTATCGTGCTACAAAACAGGTCGTCAGCCTATCAAGTTTCCCTACACATATGGTGAAAGGATACGACGCACCAAGAACGCCAACCCCTCCGTCACGTCCGCGAACAGGCTCTTGACCTCTTCGGGGCTCAACAGATGAACCGCCTTCAACGAGGTTCGACCTCTTCCTCCATCTATACCTACCCCTCCTACACCAATCCCGCCTTCCATTTCCCTTCTTAGCCTCTCACGCTCTTCTGGTGGGGCCCTTTTCATAGCACGGAAAGCCCGTATGCGAGCAGAAGGTGAGTGAAGATCGGAGGCAGGCGGGGTGGAAGGAGAAGGAGAAGATGGACCAGATATAGAGGAGGCATGGGCATGAATGTGGGGTAACCTGGTAGAACGACCAAGGCGGAGATCGATGAAGTCATCTAGACTAAAATGCGATAACATAAAGTGAGTGAAATCGTCTACTACACATATATGCTGGGTATATGCGCATGGGGATAACAGGGCTACGAATAGCTTACCTGCCGCCTTCTGCCCATTGCATTAGCACGCTGTATAGAGAAGATCAGTATTACTGTATCATCAAGTCTGAAGATTATTTTTTGAAATGGTGAGTGGGACTCAACTGGAGAGCTGGCACTTTTGGTCCAAAGGACGAGAACTGGCAAGTTTCAAGCCAAGCATGATGGTAGGTGATGATATTGCGGTGGTGGAGTCGTTCCAACAAACGGACCTGATACAATCGTGTTATTCAGTTCAAATTGTACGTACCGCATAGTCGCACCTCTTTCAGTATGGTAAGGAGATAAGAATGGGACTCTCCGACTGCGATTTTTTTAACTGCGAAATGGCCTGTCCCACCAAAAGAAGAGATATATTAATATAATCTTGGTATGCGATGGAAGTCTGGTGAAATGAAGCGAACCAAGGGGATTTCCATCCAATACATGCTATTATGTCGTTAAAAGTCGAGCAATTAGAGGTAAACGAAAGAAATGAAATGCAAACCTGACAAAGATAGACACTTCCATTTGCACCCATACCTAACCTGTATTCCTCTTGGAAGAACGCCCTGAAATATCCTTCAGCCATAGCTTCGCGTGGAAAGGTAGGGCGCCGCCTCCTAGACTCGTCGTCCATGAGTGGAGGAGGACTCGAAGGCCGCGATGACGTCTCATTTGCGATGGCGAGAAGCTGGAAGTAGTTGGAAGCGCGCGAGTGAAAAGCGGGGTGAGAATGGCGTGACGAGTCGATATCTTCGACATCATCGGTATCGAGGTGGTCGAACCCTGACGGTAGAGGTCTGTGGCAATAAGGACACGACGACGGCTGGTGTCCTTCGAGTATGGTAGACGATTTGCATATAGAGAGAGCGTGCGACGTTGGGTTGTAGAGCACGACTTGGTTTGAGGCTTGGAAGATGGGCTGCCAGTCTGGGTCCAATGGTGCGAGAGCAACGAGAGCGTGGTTGGGAGAAGGAGACTGGGTTTCGTCGAACATATTGCCACGTATCTAAATGATATTCGTGGATAGTGGCGGTATGCAGAAGAGTCGTGCTTTGATTGTTTTATAGCTGGCTCGAACACTGGTTTCGAGATTCTGTATGTAAATCGTCACGGGGCTCCTCAACGTGGTGGAGTAAATATAAACGGGCTGGAACGAGCACGCCTCAAGTGTATGGGAACGAAAGACAAGGGTGTATGTTATATTCTTTGACAAGCCAGACGAGGTATGGACTTGGACGACAGCAGACCTGCCAGTGAGTGGAGACTATGAAGCTGGGTCAGGTCTAGGCCAAGACCGGCATGTTGCGGCGGTTTAGAGCCTTGTGGCTTAGTGCCATAAATGGAAATGACCATCCTAAAAAGCCGAGCACGCCTCATTACAAAAGAAAACCCGTTTCTACTAGTCCGTTCATCCGACCAACCACGCCTCTCGCTTCCCTCTCTCTCGTCGCTCCTTCTATCTAACTCCCACAAAATCGCGTCAAAAAGCTATCAATAATGTCCATAGAGCTCGAAGCGCGTCAGCAGCAGGGCGGGGGTAATCAACAGGGTGGTCAACAGGGTGGTCAACAAGGAGGCGGCAATCAGCAGGGAGGGCAACAAGGTGGTCAAGGTGGTCAACAGGGTGGGGGACAACAGAATGGAGGAGGCAATAGTCAATCACAGTCTCAATCCCAGTCGGCGTCTCAGTCCCAGCAATCAGGATCCAGCTCAGCCTCATCTTCCACTCTCTCCATCCCCGAATCCGCACCTGCAGGTCTTCTCACCGTAACCCAACCACCCCAGCAGTCAACCTCGTACTACAAAATTGCACAGAATGAATTCATCACATTCGGCTGGAACTTCAGCTACGTCCTCGCTACGCCCACCCACCTCACTGTGTCTGCGGCATGTGACAACGGAAACACGTATCCTGTAGGTCCAACAAATGGCATTATACCAGGGACTGCAACCAGTGTCGTCTGGGATCCTTATACTTATCAGACGTCGCATCCGGACCTCCCTCTCGCTCAAGCAAAATATACGCTACAAATATGGGGTGATCAGGGACCTGGTGCTGCTCGTGCCCCAGGAATATTGACTCCCAACAGTGCCCTGCAGTTTGCTCTCTACACGCCCCAGCCATACACTCCAATCAGTAGTGGTAAGTTGCATCCACTTTCACTTGTGTTTATTATAAAACTGTTTCTGATGTATTGGTCTTGCAGGTTGGTCATGTGCAGGATGTTCAAGTGCCTTGTCGCAGTATGTTGCGCACCCTGCTTTTGCGGGCATCGTTGCGACCATGGTCATCATGTTTCTCTCTGGCTCTATTCTCATGCGCCGCAGCGCACACTAGGATCGTTCTTCTCTGACGCGCTTCTATCAAGGAAATCATCACGTGTGACGAGGATGACGCTCACGACCGATAAGCTCGCAGTAGGACTTTTGTTCTTTCCTTGGGCTGGACATTCTTTTTACATATGACATCTATCATCAAATTGCCTACTTACACGCTTCCTTCAAAGTTGTTCACACTGGACTTGCAATATTCTTTTGGTTCTTCTTCTGGCTCTGGCTCTTACATCTGGTTCTTTCCTTCTAATTGATACCTCTTTGCCTCTTTGTGCCTCCTAATTTCTCGCCGTGTGGATAAGGCGCAGATAATAGACTCTTTCCTTTAAACTTCTTGCACTCTTTCTTGTGATGACATAGTATCCGTGCATGTGATTATCTTTGCTAAACACATCTCGGTGATATGATCCGTTTCGAGTCTGCATCGCTATCTGAATCTGATCGTCCTTTTGCCTTTGTCTCCGCAGTCCAATTACAAGGATCTTTCAAAAATATCTCTGGCAGGAAGTGTCAATTGTCTCTATTTTTGTGAGGCCTGAGAAGAAGAGACTGCGCAACTTTGAACATGTGGACATATGGTCAACGATGTAAAGCTTACTGGACATTAGACAGACCTGCAAGTGTAGGCACAAGTTGGTCAAATGTGGCCCGGGGCGTATTATCCCTTGCCGGTTCTTTAAATTTCGAGGTATGCGTTGGTGATATTCAAGAGCATGATTGGCTAACTTTCAACGATATGTAGATCTAACAGATGCGAATACGATAATAGACCGATCGAGTAATGTCAAAACGTCAGTTAGTCAAGTGAAAACAGCTTGTCGCAGAAGACACTAGGAGGAAGGAACACGGTAGCTTGTCGTGTTGACAAGTGAGCCTTACAGGACCAAAGTGAGTCTTTGCATTCGACCTGAACGTTGAACAATAATATAAATAACCATGTGTGTATTGAGATTTTCCATATCGTCGATGCCAAATGGATCGAACAAGCGAATGTCTTTGTCTTCTGGAGTGGCAAAAATAATCCTGCTCAGCAAAGTTACCCCGTTCACGAGCAGGAATGATTACCCACCGCTGACCAAATCCAAGTCTTAACTTTCATGGCATCTCACTGCTCTTCGGTAATATCTATCATTTTGTCCAATTCGCTGTACTTTCTCATCGCATTCGTGTTACTAGAATGATTGCGCATGCTACTAGTCTCTATTTCTCTATTTTTCTCCCTCTCTCCCTCTTTCTTGTGGTAAAGCCGAGGTTGATTGTATGTTTAAGGGCCACAGACATATGAGTTATGACTTGTTTTTCTTGGTCATAAAATTCAAACCTTTGTAGTCAATATAAAGCTGAAGTTCGCCCGCCTTCCGTCGGACAAAAAGGATAGGAGCTGCGGCGGGGGGTGGAACAGAGAATAAAACCCTTCTTGACCTTGACGCTCGTCCTGCAAGGACTGGTACATTTTACAGGCTTAATACACCGGAAATTGTTTGACACCACAAACATAAAAGCACCTTCAATCCCTTCAAAACCAAGGATTATTCACCAAGGGAACAGTGCTATATCCGGGTAAATATCACTCAGCCCAAGGTCCGCAGTGGTCGTTGTGGACGATACTGAGGTAGGACCAGTCTCCCCTAGGTATACCATCATTTAGGAGGAAGATAGTCTGAAGTGAACCATGTCAAACACACCTTTAATAAAATTAACCACTGACACGCGGCACACAGGATGACAACGTCTTAATGCGTGGTATCCGACACAGTAAAGGTCGTGCAATCTCTCTCCTATGCATTGTCTGATGGCCGACAATCATCGTGCCTGTTAATGGGGCTTTGTTCACCAATTTGGCCCGGCTCTCCACTCCATCTACAGAGTTAAACTCTGAGTCTGCTGCGTACTCATTAAGGAGCTTCACTATAGGTACAGCCTCTAGAGAGCGAGCAAGCATCAATGGTGTCATTCCATTGTCGTCCTCTAAGTCGACTCGGATGCTATGGCGTGCAAGAAGAAGGCCTGCAATTACCTCTCGCCTACTCGCAGACCTGTCGCTTGGTATTTTCTTTTCTTGGCTTTTAGCTATAATCGTACAATGGAGCGGGGTCTGTCCCTTCGCGTTTTTCAAGTTGGGTGCGATGGCATTATGTGAAAGGAGCAAGGATGTTACATTTTGACATCCAGACCGCACCGCACAATGTAGTGGTGAGTCCCCATTTTTGTCCGGCAGGTTCACGTCAATATCTTCTCTGGTGAGTAGCTTCTTTACAAAATGCTCAAATCCGTCTTTTGCTGCTCTGAACAGAATTGTCCGACCATGTTCGTCTCTCCGATTAATATTAACTTCTCTTGCAAGTAGTAACTCGACGACCGAGTAATCGATCCTAGAACGTTGGTGTAAAAGCCCATGATTGTCGTCGTCGTCATCATCATCATCTGTATCGATGGGGATAGGGTATATACCCCGGAACCAGAAGCGCCTCTTCGACGTCCTGGCAGCGAACGAAAGTGGCGTCCGGTTATATGTATCCGTTGAGTCTGTCTTCACATCATCCCTTGTTAACAATAACCTGACGATCTCAGTATTTCCTGCTTTGGCTGCAAACATTAGCGGCGTCAGACCATCACCATCTTCCAAGTTAGGATTTACGTCGTCTCTTTCCAGCAACAACTCGACGGTCTCCGTATCTCCGGCTTTGGCTGAATACGAGAGCAGTGTCCGACCGTATTCATCTTTCAAGTTAGGATTCACATCATCTTTTTCCAGAAACAGCCCGACCATCCCCTTGTTGCCTGCCTTCGCCGCGATAAAGAGTGGTGTCTGATCATCTTCATCTCTCAAGTTAGGATTGACATCGTCCCTTTCCTCCAGTAACAGCTTGACAATCTCCATGTTTCCTGATTTTGCTGCGAGCAAGAGTGGTGTTTGATTATCCTTATCTTTCGAGTTAGGATTGACATCATTTCTTTTGAGCAACAAGCCAACTATTTCCGTATTCCCCGCTTTGACTGCGAACGAGAGCAGTGTCTGACCACGCTCATCTTTCGAATTGGGATTTATATCATCCTTTGTCAGCAAAAGCTTGACAATTGCTGAGTTCCCTTCTTTAACTGCGAGTGAGAGCGGTGTCTGGCCATTTTTATCTTTGGAGTCGGCGTTTATGTGACGACTTTCCAGCAATAACTTCACAGTCTCTGGATTCCCTGCAGAAGCCGCGAATAAGAGTGGTGTCTGCCCCCGCACATCTTTCGAATTAGGATTCACATCATCCTTTTCTAGGAGCAGCTTGACAATATCACCATGCCCTGTCTTGGTTGCGAACGCAAGCGGAGATCGACCATGTTTATCTTTTGAGTCGGCTTCCACGTCACCTCTCGCCAGCAACAGTTCAACAATGTCAGCGTTTCCTGCTCCGGCTGCGAGCGAAAGGGGTGTTCGACCATGTTTATCTTTTGGGTCAGGCTCCACGTCACCTCTCTCCAACAATAGCTCAACAATCTCCGTACTTCCTGTTTTGGCTGCGAATGAGAGCGGTGTTCGCCCACTTTTATCTTTTACGTTGGCCTCGACGTTACGATTTTCCAGCAACAGCTTTACAATCTCTGGGTTCCCTGCAAAAGCTGCAAATGAGAGTGGTGTTCGCCAACGCACGTCTCTCGAATTGGGATTTACATCATCTCTCATGAGGAGTAGTTCAACGGTCTCTGTGCTCCCTGCATATGCTGCTAGCGAGAGTGGTGTCTGACCGCCATTCAAGTTGCTTTTTGAGTCGGCCATCACATCATCCCTTGCTAGCAGCAGCTTAACAATCTCCGAGTTCCCAGCTTTAGCTGCCAACAAGAGTGGTGTCTGACCGCGTCCGTCTTGTGAATCAGCGTCCACATCATTTTCCAGCAACAGCTCAACGGTTTTGGTGTTCCCTGCTTTGGCTGCGAACAAGAGTGGTGCCTGATTATATATATCTTTGGAATCAGCCTCCACGTTATCCTTTGCCAGCAACAGTTCAACGATCTCTGTGTTCCCCGCTTCGGCAGCGAACGAAAGTGGTGTCCGACCATGCTCGTCTTTTGAATTAGGATCCACGTCATCTCTTTCCAGCAACAGCTTAACAATCTCCATGTTTCCCGTCTGAGCCACAAACGAGAGTAGTGTCCGACCATCATCATCCTTTGAGTTTGCCTTTACGTCATCTCTTGCCAGTAACAGCTCAACAATCTCTGTGTTCCGTGTATAGATTGCCAATGACAGTGGTGATTGACCTTCCTCGTCTGGTGTGTTGACCTTCACATCGTCCCTTTCCAACAGCAGCTTGACAATGTCCGGCCTCCCTGCTTTGGCTGCAATTAAAAGTGGGGTCTCACCAGCTTCGTTTTTCGAGTTAGGATTTATATCATCCCTTTCCAGCAACAACTTCACAATCTCCGTGTCTCCTACTTTGGATGCGAATGACAGTGGTGTCAGACCTTCTGTGTCTTGCGAGTTTACATCGTGGCCTCGACGGAGCAGTAAGCTCACCACATCTCTGTGTTTCCTGTTTATGGCGATGTATAGTGGTGTTCTACCTGCATCATCTCGTGGGTCAACAACGGCTCCCCCTTTTATTTGGAAATCAATGGTTCGAGCTAAGCCCCAAAAGGCGCATAAATGCAGCACTGATCCACGGGAACCCTTACGACCACCCATATATTCCGTAGCCCTTTGAACTATCTCCTTAGGACGAAGAAATTCTTGTATCATGGCCATATTGGTCTCCTCCACAAGACGTGCATGGTTTCCCCAATTTTCTGCGGCATAATGGCTCATCTCCCCACTGAATGGCCACCTCGGCCGCCACATGTAAGGATTGTAGTTGGCAGGTGGTGGCAATGACAGAACTTTCAAACAAATACTCGTAAGTTGTGTGTGCGGATCTAAGCATGGCCATTTGTTATATTTGCTGAAGTAGTCCTGCGCAGTGTAATCTAATGGGATGGTCATCAGATTTAGCCGGGATTAGGGAATAAACTACTCACGAATCAGGCGAAACACAGAATGTTCTGCATCTAGTAGGATTAAACCAGCACATGCCTCTGACAGGATGGATATCTCCACAAGATCATGACTAGTGATGCCTAGCTCGCCACGTGAAACCGTCACAGCGTGTTGAAGCTCCTTGCCGCTCAGCGGTCGGAAGGCATAGGTGATCAATATGATAGCCGTTAAAGCAAGTTGCTGGAGGCCTTTATTCAGTCCATGAATTCGGTTCATTGTTTCATCGTATGCAGCCTCCACCTTCTTCGGAAGACTTCTAAGGGCAACCCGAACCTCCGTACGAGTGACCTTGGTTTCCAGCAACTCTACATGCAGACGACATAGTAAAAACCTTCCTCGATATTAGGGTGTATATTGAAGGATGGACTAAAGAAGCACTCACATGCCGCCTGCGCGTTTGATGATACATTCGATAATCTCTTCTCTTAGAGGGGGATCTCCATTAATGAGCTCATACAATAATGTTCCTGGGAGAATACGGCCTTCGATGTAGCGGCGTATATCATCATCATGTGCACGAATGTGCATATATGGGACATTACGCAGAGCTTTTCTTATCGAGTCCATTTCACGTGAAGTCACCAGTAAACTGCATCCAAGAGATCGAAGCTTGTTGAGCAAGTCGTAACGTTTGTTGTCACTTTCGGTAATTTCATCTAAAGCATCGACAACGACAAAAACTTGCTGGAATTGTTTGATTTCCGACATTAGTGTATTGTGTACCTGTTGGATAGTTGGGCGGTAGCCTTGTTGTCGGTAAGACTGGTATTGACTGGCAACGCGTGTGAAGGTAGAAGAATGATCTTGAACAAGTTGCTTTAAGAGACTTGCAACAAGATCATACACCGTTTGAGTTGATTGCTCTTTGTAGTTGCAGTAAATGTAGGCCACAGCAACGTCAGGAGTGTTGTACTTTTCAGTGAGGAAATTGATAATGTATGACCTAAAGACGCATAAAAGTTGTGATCGCTGTTGATACCTGAAGCTTGTTGGGGTACTTACGCAAGAACGGTTTTCCCAGTCCCGGCTGCACAATCAGGATCAGTTACATGGAACATTCATGATACTATTGAGAACGGTCAGAGACGACACACTTACGAATGCCGGGGCACCACATTGTTTTCGCGCAGCCTGTTTGCCACTCTTTGAAAACTTCATTATCAAGTACCCAATCACCAGTTCCTTCCCGTCTATTTCCATAGATGTTGCTCTGTGTTTGTCGAAAATTCAAAGGAGTGAGCCAATCGGCCAGTTCCCGTCGCTCCTTTTCTGAAAACAAGTATACATATATACGTTAAATTGCAATGAAGAATATGCAATAACGACTTATACCAGTATCTTTGTTATAATAGTTGTTGATCTGTTGTCCACGAACATTATTGAACATAGAGTATGGCGCATTGACAGATTGAGCTTGTGATACCAAACCCAGGACATCAACACCATTAGCAGACATCGAGAAAGTGGGGGGGAAAGCCCTGTAGATGAATATGATGTCTAGAAGCTTCTACGATATGGTGGAAAGGAGAGCAGAATAACCTAGACGCAGTGTCATAAGCTCTTATATATCTATGGTTGTCGGCGAATCCACTGACACGACACCTGTGCTGTGGGACAACAGAGCGTAACGCGTCTACTGACAGCGCCCTAGGATTGAATGTTAGGTGAATGATTGTACCACTGTTGGTTGGTTGATACAGAATCTACGCCAAATCATGAACTTGTTTTCACATCATCTTCCCTGACCCTCAGGGTCATCACCACTCGCCGCTAGTCCAGAAGGAATGAGGGATGGCTTCATTGTATGAATGCGAGTGATACGGCGCCTTAAGAAGACTGTCATCACTATCTAGATCCAGCGCTCCCCGATGAAGGAAAGGACCGTGATTCACATAAGCAGGGCAGTGGTTGTGGCTGGATTGAGCGACGTATCAGAAACCACCCATGTTCATCTGTCGCATGGGGCGGATGCATAATGATTTGGGCGTATGATGGATGCAGGACAACTACAAATAGAGAATGCGCAGGTGATAAGGAGAGGGAAAGTGGAACGATGACAGTATCAGCTCACCTAATAGCCAGGAGATGATGGGTATCTAGGCCGACAACATACCGAATATATGCGCGTCCGTGCGTTATAGACGACTGCTAATAGCCTGAATAAATGGAAATGAACAGAAGATTCTCAGAATCTCACGGGATAAGCAAACTCCTTCAACCAAAAGGTGCAATCAACAACGCCTAAATCATTCATCTTCTCTAGGTAGCGAACTGGAAACAAAAACAAGAAAAAATATGACGTGCATAGACATTCGACTATAAGTAGTCGTGGCTGAGCCTATCGCCTTGTCGGAAACCACGAATGTTTAATCTGCCGTATGAGATGGGCACAAGGATAACCTGCTCGGGAGTCTGCATGACTTGGAGCGACAAGGCACACAAGCTCAGAGGTTGAATGAAGAAGACGCGCGTGGAAAGGAGGGGTGTGGTGCAGAAACGGGCATACCAATGCACTGCTATAGGACCTTACCGAAATGTGGATGCCGACCGACAACTTATGCGCCCATGTGGCATATACAATGGCTAGCCATGACTGGTGTAATATTTCATACAAAAATAAACAAAGACTCACCCCAAGACTCACGCAACAGATAAAATCCTTCCACGAAATGGTATAGCAGGCAGTACCTAATATCTTCCTTGGAATGGCCAATCTATGAGGAAAACACGGGAAAAGCACAATCAGCCTAGAATAAAAGGGTCAAGGATCTGACTTAATCGACAGAGCTCTGATTTACCATTCCAAAAGTTTACATTCGCCCTTGCGAAACCTTCACCTCACTCTCATTATACCACTGACCACCCTCACTAATTGATCATACCCCAATCCTCTGCCAACTTCACGGTACTACATTGTGTCAAACATCTCCTTGGGCACATGCATCACATTCTGCAGGGTCGGACGCTGTCTCGAATACCAGTGAGCAGATGCAATTGTTTGGCGTAGCTTGAGATAATCTGATGGTCTATGTAAGATTTCTATAGGTTAGCGGAGGTAAGATCCACATTATAGTTGAGTCCGAGAGGTTTTCTTCGTCCCCGAATTCCTCTGATATAACTTAAGCAAGAGTCTGTTATCATTGCCAGCGTCGCTGGTGCTGAATGGCAGTATCATTAATTGGATTAATGTGATTTCTACCAATGCGTGTCAATGTATAGATTCGGCTATCCTCTTACCGTCGTGAGTACATCTTTCCGTCCTAGCATAAACACTCTAATGAACACATAGGTTAGCTGAAAAATGCAGAATATCTTCAAGACCACGAACAACCACGATGTTCAACCCGAGTGAATGGTAAATGCTTAAATGCATAAGCGGGAGTATTAGTGCAATGAATTGTAGCTCTTGCTGTTGTTGCTCCGTTTGAACTGTAAGCCACTGCCGTTCGTTCCATGTGGTTGATGGCATTCTACTAATATGAACGAGAGTTGTGAAATGGAGTTCTGAGTCAACGGTAAACTTGAAGATGTATATGAGACGTGAGACTGTTTCTCACGGCATCGGAGTTAACCGTGATCTAATTACACACCATCACTGGAGTCAGACCCCTATACGGGGGACCATCTCAGTACAAAAACCAGTACCCTCCGCATTTCCTGCTGGGTTCGAACATTCTGCTCTGTCCGCACATGCCGGCCCTAATACTTACTAATACTACATAAAGGGCACATAAGAACCACAAAACAACGCGTTACAGCTACACACGCCCACATTTCAAGTCATGGCCCAAGAGTCCGAGTTCAAAATTGCCATCCCTGACGAAAAGCTTGCGACGCTACGCGCCAAGCTAGAGCTCACCACGTTCCCCGACGAGCTGGAAGACGCGGGCTGGAAGTATGGTGCCCCTCTCGCCGACGTCAAACGCCTCGTAGGCAGGTGGAAGGATGGCTACGACTGGCGCAAATACGAGAAAGCCCTCAACGACGAGTTACCGATGTATACGCGCGACATTGACGTCGAGGGCCATGGGTCACTGAATATACACTACGTGCACCAGAAGAGTGAAGTGGTCGACGCGATTCCGCTGCTGTTCGTTCACGGATGTAAGTTGTCAGTCCCGTTCGTACCCCCCCCCCCCCCCCCCCTCATTGATCTAAATGACTACTCCATTCCAGGGCCAGGAAGCTTCCTGGAGATCCGTAAGATACTACCTTTATTAACGAAGGCCTCTCCCGACCACCCAAGTTTTCACGTCGTCGCCCTGAGTTTACCAGGATACGGTTTCTCAGAGGCCCCTCGCAAACAGGGATTTTCGGGACGCCAATATGCTGAGGTATATTTACTTTCCTGCTCACCGAAGAGGTGGGTAAATGCTGAAGTATCACTTCTAGGTAGGAAACAATCTCATGCTTGCATTGGGATACAATGAATACGGCAAGTTCCATCCCCCATCCATCGCGATTCAAAATGCCGCAGCATGAATCCACACACTTACCATTTGATATCCTTAGTTACGCAAGGAGGAGACTGGGGCTTTTGGGTAGGTACAATTCCAAACTCGATTTTTCTTTAAAGTATTGAACTCAAGTGTGTAGGTCACTAGAAAGATAGCCATCTTCTATGGTGGAAAGCACAGCAAAGCGTGGCATACCAACTTCCCTGTGTGAGCTCTAGTATTCCATGTCAGCTGATGAAGTACACATTTGTCTATTTTCTTCGTAGGGGAAGGCCTCCCCAACTTTTAAGAAACCCTTTAGCCTTTCTCTCGTACCTAGTAAAACCATTAACTAGCGCTGAAAAGGCTGGACTTGCGAGGACTAAATGGTTCAAAGAAAGCGGCTTCGGTTACAATGAAGAGCAAAGTACCCAGCCGCAGACACTGGGATATGGACTCACGGATAGCCCTGCTGGGCTACTGGCATGGATATACGAGAAGTTAGTCAACTGGACAGACTCATATAAGTGGGATGACGATGAAGGTAAGTTTGCAGTAACAATATCAATTTTATGAGACTAAAGATCTGGATTTTCAAACGCATTCGCTAGTCCTGACATGGATGTCGATCTACTGGTTTTCGCGTGCTGGCCCGGCGGCATCATTGAGGATCTATTTTGAGGCAAGAAATGAAGATGAAGGCAGGTTTGTGGAGTCTGCGCCTACCATCCCCATGGGTCTCTCCTTTTTCCCTCGAGAGCTGTTATCTTTACCCAGGGCGTAAGTGCATCTACTTTTCCAGTAATTTTTTTCAAAGCTCACGATCACGGTAAGCTGGACGCGTTTAACGGGCAATGCGGTCTTTGAGGCAGAACATGATAGTGGCGGGCATTTTGCTGCGCACGAGAGGCCCGATGAACTAGTTGGTGACGTGCGCAAGATGTTTGGGAAAGGCGGGCCTGCGTATGGCGTGGTTCCAGGACGGGCAGGATATGCATGAACATAACAAGCAAGAGTATTTGGCGTTATGCCAGTGACTCACCAAGAATATTGTATGTAGCAAACATCTGAAAGATCCCATTGTTCTCGCTTCTCAGTGATCTGCGTTTCCATGTATTGTACGCGAGTATGCTGTAGGAAGGCTAAAGGTGATATATTACAGACTGTCAGGTCTATGTACACCGAACAACACGTAAGGATCGGTGGGAAAATGCGCTTGTGGGCATGAATGGCGTGAAGCTGGGGCATGCTGTGCAGTGTTGGGTTGTCGTTGCCTCGATCAGCATCAGAAATATTGTTTTGAGTAAGCAGCGCATAAGTGCGGCATTCCTTTTTTGGATACAAAGTTATGGCAAAACGTGGCGTGCTGCCTTTTGCGACGATCATTGTCAGGTCACCAACCATCAATCAAGGCTCCCGGTTTCGTCATCTTTAAATCGAGGAAAACGTTTTCAATTAGTCGTTCTGTGACAAACATGCCGTCTCTTTTCTGGTTCGGCAGACTCTCGCTTTTCTGTCATATATCTTTTCTGGAGCTCACATATCACGGCTAGCATTATCACTTGCATCGTGTACACTCGGAGATGTCCAGTACAAAAAGCATATCACTTGCACTAACAACATAAGGTATCAGCAAATTTAGTTACCGCCGATCTGAGTTTTACTTACGGGCTATGCACGTGTGCTGATGCAGAGCTGGGCCGACTCGGAATTCTTTTGCTGTCGACTACCAACTCTCATTCGGTGCTGGCACTAGTCTCGACGTACTCAGTCCTCTGGCCTTGGAACATTGAGCACGCAAGGCGCTACAGCGATACCTCTACAATAACGCGAATATGGCTCTCTCCGTGGTTAACGGCATATCAACGAAGCCCGACGCGGAGTCGAAGAAGCCTCGACACAAGAGAACCTTTCCGAGTTTCTTCGCCAAAAGCACTTCGGCGAAGCAAGGGCTGCACGATGACCTCCAAAGTGAGCAGAGGGAAGAAGTTTCTACAAGTGCGTACTTTGTCTTGATCGCCCGATCGATTTCCATATAACAGCGTATACCTTGATTGAATAGGTAACAAGAGTAGTAACGAACAACTTACCAAGCCCGCCCCAGAACGACATCACAAGCCAAAGCCAGATCTCCCTCATCTGAACATAACTTCCGCGTCCCACCACAGCCGCCATCACACACTCATTATCCCAAAAACACCAGCAGTCAATGTGAGATCTACGAAGGACAGTATCAGAGACCTTGGTCTCTCTGGGGCTGTCATCATAGAACAACCGATGATTGCTGGTGGAAACACTGCGCCGCGCCCCATTCTCTTTGGAGATGGGGTTCCGACTTTTTCGACGACATCGTTGTCGTCGTCGAAATCATTACCCTCTATGGCCTCTTCATCCGTCATCCGTTCTGCATCTGCTTCGGAAAGGCCGCCTCCATTGCCAGAGCCGAGACCTAGGCTCCTCTCTGGAAATGTGAAGTCTGTGTCGAGACCGTTGCCCGCTATCCCCCGATATGCTTCTGCGTCGCCAATGGCTACATCGAGTTCCCACATGCGTAGGCCTGCAACTGCAAACAGTGCAGTACACAGTACATCGATGGATAGAGAACATGGATTACCCCATACAAGGTTCCCCGGGACTGTACATGTGAATACTGCTACTATGGCCGGGAGGGATAATGGGCACGTGCCAGGCCACACTGTCCCCCACAGGAGTGCACACATCAATGATGCAAGGAGGGGTATGCACGATCGCGTGCAGCACGGGTTACCACCAATACCCATAACCATACCCTCACACCACCATCATACTTGGTCTGTACCGGAAGCATCTCCTTCCCCAATACACTCCCACTTCCGTCCACGCACCACCCAACAGGTCCCTTCTTTAGAACAGTCTGCTGCTCTGGTAGACTTGCATGAGACCAAAATACCAAATGTGAATGACACTCCTAGGGAACGGATCCGCTCAAAGCGGCATCCAGAGAAACGTGAAAGAGAGGAAAAAAATTTCGGGAACGCAAAGGTTTCCAATATTGCGAAAGAAACAAAGAAGGCTCTACCCGCTCCTCCAACTGCTGAAAGCTCTTCACCCAAACACTCCTTGCAGGTCCCGCCAATATCAACAGATATCCCTGTTTACCCACCACCTCCTGACGTTGTAGTCTGTATGCCTTCACCGATTCCAGACAATAAGGAAGAGAGTATATCTAGATCTCCATTCAATGCCTCTCCAGACCCAGGATTCATATCCGACGGATCCAACTCGACATCGCCATTGCCACTCACACCGCCAATGAGATATGGCGAAACATTGCAGAACGTCCAAGTGTCTGATGGCACGAATACGCCAAAGAGCTCTCCAGAGGGTAAACCTCCCAATCGTAGACTGAAAGACACGTCCTCCAAGTCGAAGCCGCAGGGCACGCCTCCGTCGCCTAAAACGCGGCGCCCTAAACTCGGACGCACTGGGCCCACCAGCGCCAAATCTAATGCATCTCCAGCTTGGCCATGGGCGCCCCCAGCCAGCTGGTCGGGACCAACGCCACAGAGCGACTCGGACGCTCCTCCGAGCAGAGATGAAAAGGAAGAAAGCAAGCAGACCGGGCAAAAGCTACCTCGTCTACGAAAGCAGAAAAGTGTACCAAAGGTTGTACACAAAGAGCGCAAGTCATTTTACACACACCTGAACCTGTCAACGCCTTCGGTGTGGCGAGCACCGATGCCGAAAAGCTGCGGAGAAGAGGAGGAAGAGTATGGTGTTTTGGTGGCGCGGGCTGGCAAAAAGAAAGCGCAGTGTGCTGAGGATGTGGTGGTGACAATGCAGAACACCGGGGGAAAGGTATGGGAGAAGGATATGGCCGATGTGATACCCCAGCTGAGGCAGCTCAAGATGTCCAAGAGAGGGAAGCATTGATAGAGGAACGATGCAACAAGGACTTGGGGTGGTAACGAAGACACGACGAAATAAAATATGCGTAATTTTATTCCTTTCTATTTCAGTACTACTGCTCGGTTTTATTATTCACACTGGTATATAGCAGCTCTAAGTTCTAGTTGGTACTGTACGACATTTATCAGCTTTCCGTAAATAATGTACGCATGCTCACAATTTTCAAAGATAAGACAATGCACGACTGTGAGATCATTCTGCGACCATCTCATAGCTTCGGATTTCGACAGCGTTACGACGAGGTCCGCACGGCGAGAAAAGCGCGGTCCGAAAAGTATTAGAGTAGTTACATAAGGGAACGGTTGATAACTGACAATATGTAAGTGCGATAAGATCATCGTGATTGTCGTCATATAGGGGAAACTATGCTGCTCGCAAAGGCCAGGGTGAATATAGGAGATGCAAAATGGAGGACTTGAAGCTCATTTGCATCAGCATAAGTCGCGCTGTGCAATGTTCAAGCTCACATTTCTATCACGGTTGCAATCCAGACGTGTGTAGAAGACTTGACAGAACTTCCTGAAACCGCTAACGAAACAATGGCTGAAGCAACTGTTGGAGATGTCTTATCCGTAATCAATAGAAATAAAAGCCGTGGTGGCAAGTATCTGCATGCGGTGTGCTATCTGTCAACGACTGACAGGCGCTTTCTGCCGTAAACGGAGCTCGCCGTGGCATAAATATGCGTGCCGCAGCGTGCGTATACTGTGGACTAGGTAGAGAGCTGATTGAACAGATAATGTAGGGCTTCGATGTCAAGATCACGGGGGCCACGTACTGTAAGTCTAGTCTTTTTTTAATTTTTGCTTTGACTCGCCGACACGTCAGCTATACAATTAAGGCATGACCACACCGTTGTAGGGATCATGTAAGCCATTGTGCGTGCAGGGCTGTGTAGAACTTCTAGTTTTACAGCAGGAAAAATGGCTATCTCGGACTCCAAAGAAATCACGGGGATCCGAATCACCATACTGTGATCCTTGGTCGGTCGGCGGAGCAGGTTACTAGTAGTCCATGGCAATGATGAGCTAAGCATAGCGAGTCTAAGAGGGTTGAGCAATTACTTGGAACTGAATCGAGAGTACGAAGAATACCGATAATGTTGGGCCACTGTAGCTAGGTGATAGAGGTAGAATAAAGCCTTCGCTATATGCATGGTGACAGTCACCAGCCTGAGCCATCTTGAGGAATGATACAACGACACTGTCCGGAAAACTCCTCGGACTCTTTCTTGCGCGCACTTGGGCGCTTGAGCCCCGAGAGTCTGGAGTATACACAATAGACGTGAAGAACATTGATAGACTTCTGAGGACAAGTGTGCTGTGAATCCTTCCCGGTAGGCATGAGCTGAGCACTGGTGAGCTAGAGAACGCCGCTGACAGTGACATGCAGAGTACGTCCTGATAGCAGTGCCGCGGTATAAAGTCGGTAACTAGGTTAGGGTTGAGCCGGGACCCCAAGGATCTGTGTCTATGCCCGTCCATTTTCCACCTTCCTTTCGCATTCCATTTCATCATAGCTGCGCTATTCTTACTGAAACGCGATGTGTGCACACTGTTCTTCTGAGCATCTACCGCTTTGACGCGACTTTTCTGGTTTAGTTTCTCTCATAATATCGTTGGTTTGATGCTCACTGAAATTTTCTGATTTTCGCAGCTGCTTCGTGCGAAAGCTTGCCGGTCACTCTCATTAAATGGCCAAGTGTCCAGGAACGCTGCCATTCGCACATGTGCGGTAAGGCTCTATGAACCTTGAGTTGCTTGAACCCAATTCATGGGGATAACGATTTCCCGGGTCCTGGAAGTACGTCCTAATTTGAAGTTCTACGATTGGTAAGTCTTGTACTTGGCGCGTTGCTGATCACTGGCAGGTCGTTGCCAATGCTCAGCTAATTGCATCGCTACAACGTCTTCCTCACTCTTCCACCTCGTCCCTCCACTTAACTCAAGCAGGCAGCCGTATCAATGCAACGCCCACATCGTTCATCGCATGTTACTTACGGGAACCTTTCTGTTCTATGCATCAACAGTCGTGCACACGCTTGGACCTACATGCCATCCTCCGTATCACATCGCACAGTTTGTCAGGCCGGGGTCACGCCGGCACCTTTCACAGTTATATTGTGTTCACTCCTTATTTCTACCTTCCTTTTTGGGCTCTCTGCTCTTCGGAAGTCTACAGCCTCGGCACACGCTTTGGTGACAGGAGCTGATGGCGATGAATTCACAGCCCTCCCCCGACTTCAACTTGTCTTCCGCCGCCATTCTCTATCGTGCGGTTCTATTTTGTGCTTCTGAGCACTGTGGCACTTGGCACGTACCAGTGAAAGGTCCGTATCAAAGCGTAAGCGGCGCACAACTGTAATATGACGTTTATTTTTATAATATTTACATCCTACCCCGCAGTGAGTTAACCGTCAAAGCGTCAGAGGCAGTGGTAGGTGGCGTGTAGATTTTAAGGCTGGTTAAAATGACCAACTTCATCATCTACATACCACGCTCTCTTGTCTCCCGTCTTTCGTTAACTGCATGTCATCGTCTGAGGAGTAAGTGTTTGTGTTATTCTATTTCAAGTCCTATATTTATCTGTAGCAGCAACCGCGAACGGACCGATCAAGGTCATTCATCTTTCGGCTCGTCTGATTCTAGTGATCAGCAAGGCTCGTCTCAGCAACTGCCATGGTTGCATCAGCAACATCTAGCGTCCCCCCAGCTCCCATCGACTCCCATGTTGAGAAGTGCACCTTTGCCTGAGGCTACGCCACACTTCCACGAGCATCTTCAAGACCCTGCTTTACAGCAGTATTGGGCTCAATTATCTAACCACCCGTATCCTTTGCCTCCATTGCATCAACAGGTGAGCTGTTTAGCAAGGACAGAATCGCGTCCATGTGTCTGATTGCATGGCAGGGTGGTATCTCTTCAGGCTTCCCCTATGACAGTTTCAGTTTCCCTGCCCAACAGGCGGTTGACACAGGTAACTCAACGCATCAGCGTGATGCATACAATACGCCCCCTGGGTTTTCATCTTCCCTCGTCCATCCCGTCGACCACTCACAACCAGTGTACTCCATGGTACAGTCCATGCATCGCCTCCAATCCCAATTTGTCTTACATTCCACTGTTCTAGCACCAAGAATTTACGCTTCAGACGCACCCGTACCCTGCTGGCTATCCGCCAAGTCTGCCTGTATCCACAGGCACTCACCTCTCTGGACAGCCGGACTTGGGAGATGTATCAGTACCAGACCCTGCTTTCGGTCGACTGAGCAATTTCGGAAGCAGAGAATATTTTGAATATCCTCTCGATATCACCTCCGATAGCCACATGTCGTCATCCAACTCCGTTATTTTGCGGTCCATGGGTGAAGACCGAGGCCCAGTTTCACAGCTTTCTCCGATTCGCGAGATAAGCCTCCGTTCACAATTCCCCCCCGTAGATGGCTTTCAATCAAGCCCCCGTGGCGCACCGTCGCAGAGACCCAGCCCCGTGATTTTTAGCTTGGGCAACGAGTATCCCCCGTATAGCCACCCGACCCCTGTGGCGTCAGTAGCGAGCGACAGCCATTTAAATGCAGGTCCATTGTCTGTTAATCCTGCCCTATCGGGTAGTTCATCAGGTACGGCCAATAGGCCGTCATCGAGCTCTCCGACTACTAAGCGTGCTCCAGACCCGGATATTTTAGACGTTCAAGCCCAGGTTTGTAATTAGTTCATGTGTCACACGCCACGTAACTGATAACAATGTAGACTGGTCGACGAGTGATTCCTCGATACGAAGGTTCTAGCGATGCTGGCACCAGCTACAATATGACTGCAGTGCCATCCAGTGCAGGATTTATTGGTCCTACTGTCCCACGTATGCCATATTCTTCGCGCGTATTTAGCACTACCTCTGGTGCGCAGGGTCCCATCCGGTTTTATTTTGCTGACCCACGGGAAAATGGAATCCCACTCCGCGCTGATTTCACGAGGCGAGCTGACAAGATGGAAGGACACGAAGTGCATGTCTTAAACGATGCATCCTCAAGTATCACTCTCCGTATAGATGTAATTCATTTCACGCCTCTCTGGCTTGAATCGAGATTTACCACCGTTTCACTAGTGGCCTGGATATGATGCTTGGTCACGACAGGTACGCTCGAAAAACTGGAGGAAGAAGCCTGGTCCTCTCACCCGCGTCGAGCTTGCGAGGAGAGTTGCTAGTGCGGTGCAGGAGTTCATTGAGGTTTATTCCCCTTTTAATATCGATGATTACTCTTTTAATCGTTTCTTTCTCAGGAAAAACAAGATGAGCCGGTTCCAGCCGCTCACGCGCGATGGAAAGTGGGTCCTGACGGCATCAGAGATACAGACCTTGTGCTGGTGGCATTGCATCAGGTTTCCAAGGGGAGCTGGCAGCCGGAAGTCCGGCTTAATCGACCCCTTGGTCTTCGCTGAGAATATATCGTCTAACGTCTCATTCCGTGCCCCCGTCATGATTGTGTTTAAAACATTTAGCCCGCATCCTTACAACTCGAGTTCATACGCTTCCAACCCTCCGTTCATCTAATGATAGAGAAGATCACTCAGCATTGCAATCATCACTTTTCCATTCATCCATCCATCCAGCCAACTCGTTTTTGTTCTTTCAGTTAATATTATTTCTTGGCATAAAATACTCGGCTATTTTATACTTTTTTCTTGGTCTCTAAGCATGTAGCATAATTTGTTCATATCACAATGAAAATTATATTTGAACCTCCAGCCATTTTCATGTGTTCGTGCTCTAGTTTTATTCCACACCACTTGGAGCATCTTGCTCCATAAATGTAAAAACTAGACATTTCCATATGTCGCTTCATTCCTACTAGTTGGGATTCGGAAGGAAGGATCTTGACAATTGTGCTGATCACGTCGCGGAGTTAGAAACGCACACGCTGAGTGCAGTTGTCTCTCCGAACATTTCACTTGAAAACATCGACGACAGTTTAGACCGAACCTCTGTAATCCTTGTGAAGGAACTACCACATAATAACCCACACCTTCAATCAAACGATATTATGTTAGAGAAGGAAGAAACGGTCATCGCAGAAGAAATGTCACAAATGCCTGCTTTTTCGTTTAGAGTATTACCTTCGAGTGCTCCGAGTCCGTTTGGACCACGAATTGGCAGGTTAATCCTCAAGAGAGCTAACTCGTACGATGGGGGCGTTGAAACATTGTCGTCAACCGATGTCAGGCAAACCATCAGCCCTGACATCGACATTTCCACCCCTGGATTTCTGGCGATGACCTCAAGAGGCGTTATCCCCCATCTATCACGCGATCACTGCATAGCAACTGATGCTGTTTCGTGGATTCATGTGCCTTTTGAAACTTTGTAAGTTTCTCTTTACATTCACATCGCATCAATTGCCCCTCCTGCCCTGCTCGTTCAGCTGGAGGCTCAAACACTGCATGTACTGATATGACAGTCTTGAACACAATCCACCTGTCCCTGTTCTTTACTCTGCCTCCAAATCAAAGTCAAGCATTCAGCCTCCTTTAACACCACTGCATGACTTCTTGGGGTATAGCCCTAGTAAACACATAGTCTCTACTTCCCTTCGGGATCCTTTCGATGATCGCGAGATGCCCCCAAATGGCGCGACTCACGTCGCCACTCATTGTATGCGTGGCGTACGCAAGGTACGTCTACTTTCTCCTATCCCTTCTGCTTGAGCGGTGGACCTCGCTGCTGATATGCAATCTTTCGTTCGTGTTTATCTTTCACGTCGTATTTCATTCATTTGTTTAGGTGACACCTGCAGCTTGGCGTACTTATGTGCAAGCAATGCGTCCTGATATCGTTTTTGCACTCACGGACACCCCCTTCACGCCTCCACCGTATTCTCAGAAACGCATCACCAAGAGCATCGAGAGATCTACCGCTTGGTTGATGGATATCTTGCGCCCAATACAACAATGGGATACCCCTCAGCCAGCTTCCAAGTCCTCATCGAAGGCATTACCGTCCTCGACATCTACAGCGATTTTCTCTCCCAACGCTTCAAACCAGCGCTCGGGGCCTGACCATCCATTCAACGTGTTCGTTACGATGGCCGGAGGGATAAGCATACCTGCGCGTGAAGCATTTTCGCATGCATTGGTGGAAATGCTATACGATAAAGACGCCGAGGCTGTCAAGCCTCTCACACGTCTTGATGATGGCGTGGCAGGATATGTTTTTGACTTGAGTCCACTGCGCGTAGCTCTCGTTGACAGTATAACACCCACTTTTACTCAAGGCTCGAACGGCGCGGACAAACCGAGTGAAGAACTTGAACAAAAAAAGGTCTCGATAGATCTCCTATCACCCCTTATGCACGCCTCCCTCGCCCCTCTTTCATCGGATAAACCACGTCTTGTCACCGCTGTCTCTTCGCCACACGAGATACTGCGACTTATAAGGGACGTCGGCGTAGATGTGTTCGATGCAAAATGGGCGCAACAAGCGGCAGATGTGGGCGTCGCACTCGACTTTCGGTTTCCAGTCTCCGACACACCACAACGTACTCATCTATTCACAAAAGTGCGTGATGGAAATCAGATAGAGCCGACCTCGCTGAAAATCCGAGCGCGCGGGAAGCTCGATCTGGGACATAACTTGTACGATCGGGCGTATACTCGTAATTTCTCCAGGCTAGCGGAGAGTTTTTGCGATCGATCGAGCTCCACGACGTCTACGCTGCCCATTTGTTCATGCATAGCATGTTCCCCAACCGCTCCTGCCACGCACATCTCACATAGCATCATAGATGGCCAAGCATACGATGGATATACTATCGGTGCAAATTCGACATTGGTTAGCAAGATAGAGGTCGTGTTACCCCCTTATACTCGCGCATATCTGCATCACCTATTGCATACACACGAGATGTCGGCGCACACATTACTGGCTGCCCACAATTTGACAGTGCTAGATGCGTTTTTTAGGGGTGTGCGAAAGGTCATTGGGAAGGACTCCGGTGGGGACATCACTGGCTCAGTTTCTGCCGATACCGGTGCAGTTTTTGCGCAAGAAGTCGAGCGCTTTGAGAAGACATACGACGAATCAACATCATTGCTGGACGAGGCAAGAGAAGACTGGCGAGACGTTGATCTTGCAAGAGGTAGAGGACGACTGGCTCGCGAGCGAGAAAAGGAGATGGAGAAAGAGGGGGATAAGCAGTTGGTTGAAAGTGCCCCCGAGCCCCTTGGTGATTTGCTTCAAAAAGAAGGGGTGGGGTGTGCGTGACGGGGCAATGCTATGCCGTGTTGAAACGAATGCGTTTACTGTATTTACTTTGTTCTCGAGTATTGCTGACCACTGGCGTCATAACGTCGTGCTTTGTGTTAGGTATATTTTATATGTACCACCGTAGTACTCATGCAGTATATCATTTTGATTCCGTTCAAAGTCTGGGTACAGCCACATCAGTAGATCTATCGGAAGTTTGCGGTCTACTGCATTGTGACCCAGTGGTGGAAGGGCCTTGGGTACCGCCGTTGGCACTATAGTGCCTTCGGCACATGGGCACCCCCGGACAACGATGACAAGGCCCAAGGTGCCTATGGCACCGAAAGATCCCGAGCAACTCTGGTCTCACCCTGCAGGACATTCGAGCAGCAGTGTCGACAGTTGCAGCTCAAAATAATGAGCATTCAGAGGCAAGGGTTTTGAAAGAGCAAAGAGGGCATATTTAGACAGACAGTGTGTATCTATATTACATGAAATATATAAGTTATATCCCAAAAATCATGGTGCCGAAGTCAGCACAGACTCCTCAAAAGTGCCCATGTCCAAAGACTCGTCTAACTCACCAGGAGCATCCAGACTAACCAGATCATATAGCTTGAGTTCCTCATTTAAACCTCATAGTGAAAACCTCTCCTCTACCTGTATCCAAGCTGTATCCTTGAAGTTGAATAGCTGAGAGATTGATACATGTATTTGTCCGAATGTCACAACCTCTGGGTCTTCATCTGCATCCAGACAGCCACGCAAGCCTATGATTATGTCGTCCATTGAGTTCCCGCATGTAGAAGATGGAGTATGTAGAGCTTCTGCCTCCGAGTTTGAATTGTCAGGTGGGTGACCTGGATTACTAGCAGGTTCAGCTTCGCCCGAAGTGAAGTCATTGGTTGACATTGAGAGTATTTGGCGTTTGCGCAGCTTTTGTTTGAGTATCCCCAAGTGGACATGTTCATCACATAGGTGAAGTCAGAGCTCAGCAAGATCAGTCATTGATTTGATACTCATTCGAGAGCGAAGCCGGGTGAGGATAAGCCCAAAGGCACTGAAAAGTCTCTCGCAAGAGGCTGAGTTGGCTGAGACAGTGAGTTGATGTCTTGCAAGACGTTCAAGAGGTGTTGGGAGTGGGTTGACTAAGTTGGTCATTGCAATGTAGATGCTCATTGGGTTGACAGACTTGTTCTGTCAAAGGGTAATTGAGTACAAAATTGTATTACAACAAGTAAATTTACTTACTTCGCTAGCTGCTAATGCAGTTTCACGCCGAATGTGATCTGGGAGCTTTCCATACCGGTCTTGGTTACTGAGATAACTCACAAGCTCACGGTAGAGCTGAATCGGGGCCTCTTCTTTGTAAAAGCGCATCCACAGCCGACTACAGAGCTCCCAGACTCCTGTTGCTGTCATGAACTTGACACTGGAGCTGAATGGAGATGCCTTGTAGAGAGGATTAAGTATTACTGGAGCAATGAATATGTCTTGGTCTGATTTCTCGCAGCGTTTCTCGATGCTTTTCAGTGTTGCTCGCATGAGTGGGACACACTGCGGGCATTGGCTTATTTAAGCCCAGCTTATATCCTGAAAATACGGGAGTTCTGGGTTCTGATTGGCTAGAAAAAGCTAGGAGCAACGGGGGGGGGTTTGGAGCTCGGAACAATAGGCCGGTGCCCGGATTGCACCCAAACTGCGACCAGAATAAAACGCCAGAGAACGGAACGAAGGCTCAGATCAAGAAATATGCGGTATTGAGGAAGACATAATCCTGGAGCCGAGGATGATTAATAGCGAGAAGTCAGAGAGTGATTCATTCAAAGGAGGGAGGTAAGCCGCCGATTGGATAGCAATGAAAAAAAGTAAGGTTAAGCATACGTTAACGACCGGTTATTGAACTCTATACAAGTAAAGCGTGCCTTCGATTGAGAGTGAGTGCTCGTCGGTGTGCGCC